CAATAATAGAAGCCCTGCCCCCCCCCCCCCCTCTGTTTCTGGAGCTGCTGGCAAGGTGGGCTTGGTGCCCTGCCAGCTCCCCCCTGCGGGGTCACTGCCTGCTCCCTGTCACCTCCTCCTGGGACCCCCCCCAACCCGGGCCATGTACTGGGGTGCCCCAACAGGGTGCCTTGGTGCCCCCCATCCCAATAAGGGGACAGCCCCAGAGCCAGCTGTGCCCTGGGGTGCTGTGGGCAAGGCCTGGGGCGGGCACCCCCTCACCTTTATTTATTGCAAAGGGAAACTATCTATAGAGAGATATATATTTTTAAGCTTATTTTAAAAGATTTATTTCTCAGCCTACGGCCTCGCCCGGCTGCCCAGGGTGCAGGCAGGGAGGGGGCAGACCTTTTGCCGGTGCAGCACTGCCCGCCAGAGGCAGCAGGAGCCTGGAGTGGGGGCGGAGATCTGGTTCATGCCCCTGCTCCACGGGGTGCTGGGTGGCCATGGGCAGCTCACCCCGTCCGACATGCTGCTCCGCGCCTCATTTTCCCCATTGGCAAGCACGGGAGGGCTGGAGATCGGGGACATGCCGCGGAGCCAGGGAGCCTGTTGCTCCCACCGCACAGGCAGGGTTTTGGGGGGAGGGGGGGTCCTTGGGGTGGTCCTTGCTGTGCTGAGCCCCTGAGCTGTCCCACAGTCGCAACCCCTCGTGCAACGCTCATGCTCTGCCCTGGTGACAGCACGTGCTGGTGCACACCCAGAGCAGTGCATGCTCACGTGGGCACCTGCAGTGCCACCAGGCACATCTCTCTGGGAAAGCAAATTTCTCACCGTGTCCCCGTGCAGCGGGGCTGTCCCTGAGGCCAGCCCCTGTCCCTGTCCCGTCCCCGTCCCAGGCACCATCCCCGTCCCGGGCACCATCCACACTACATAACTGCACTTTAACTCCAGCGGTGTTTGCCGTGCCCGTGACCCCGGTCCCCCCTGGCCTCCAGACACTGCCGCCAAGGCGGGGCGGCCCCCGGGGCACCCGCCCGGTGGC